ATATATATTATATATGTGTATAATATATGTATATGTATTTATGTATCCGTTATATTTCTTTAAAATAAAGTATTCATTTTTAAGAAGTATATTTTCAATAAATCTTTATAACCTTAAAAGATTCACATTAGGTAATACCTAAATATCCAAGAAATCTTTGTATATCTTATCAACGTTATATTTGAAATCTCTATACTTTCATATAATTGAATAATTACTTGGCTGATAAAAAAACTTATAATTTGGGATATAGATAATGATTTTCTAAAAATCTTTCGTTATTAGCACACGGATATTTTTATATACATTTTTGTTTTTACAAATCCGTAAATGCAGTAAATATTTGTTTCTGACTTAAAACAGAAACAAAAATGCTGTTTAAATTATAACAGAAATGGTAATTTAAATGTGAAATAATCTAGTGACTTCAGAATATTTTGTAATTCAATTAGCCTACAGTGTAATAAAGTGAATGTTTAATTGTGTGCTCGAATAATATAACTTTACTAAAACATGTTTCAATAAATGATGGATGGGAGACTGAGAAAAGACACTAACTTTGCATCGTTAATGCTAGTTACATTATTATCTTTAGTAACATGGCAGTAAAGCACTGCTCTTTTCCATCCGTATGATAATAATCAATTACGTAAACTAGCATAACTCTTAGCCAATAATAAGGCCACAACCAAGTCTAAATTGTTGTTTGGTGTGATTAAGCATGCCACTAAGTGCGAAAGAAAATGGCAATGGCTGTAATTTCTTTTCTAATACAGCACCAACTGTCCAATTTGTATCAACACTTCCTGGAATATTTTAAGAGTGAATATAAACGTAAGATTATATTTTTAATAAATGATATCAAATCTATCGTACCTCTGAACAATAAATCTGCTTTAGGTAAATCGACTTGATAGGCAATAGTTCCCGTGGACTCCTGCAATCGTGCATTAATTTCCAACTCTACACCTACTTGCAAATTCTGACTAGCTTTCTGATGGAAACAAACGTGACAGCCTGCAAGACCTGATACAAAAGATAAAAATTACATTACAAAATAATTGATCATATCTTAATATTACTAATAACAAAATTATATATTAACCTAAACTACAACTAATCGTAGACTCTCCATTTGTATATCTGCCAGCGGCTGATACAACAAATATTTGTCCTCCAGGTAACCCTGGTCCTCGTTGATATGCAAGTTCACCTCCCAAAGCAAGAGTGGGAGAAAGACTCTGAAGATAATGCATTACTAAAACACCTGAAGAACATACCATTGATATTATTCTTTTGTAAAATAGTAATCAATTAATGTATTAAAATGTACTATTTTATATGTGATATACTTACCAGAGCCATTAAGAATATCTGGATTACCTAACGTAAGAGAAGCTGTATATGCATCACCACGATAATCGTTTGTCATTTGTACAGCAGTAAATTTGCTTCTTTGTACTTGAACTGCTACCTTAGCCCTTAGTCTCTGCCCTAATTGATGAATTATATTAGCATTTAGATTTCCAGTAGGGTCAATATCACCAAATAAAACTGGGTAAGCTTCGGTGGGACATATTTGCTTAGTACCCACATAAGTCGCACCAAATCTGAAAGAAAATATCACGCATATGTATGCATTTGTATAACCACGTTGTCATGTAAAAAAATACTTCAATTCAATATACCTGTATCCAGACGGTGTTACAGAACTCATATTGATTGTATGAGAAATTTGAAAATGGTTACTAAGACCCTTATTTAACATCAACTTTGCTCCTTCAAAATTAACGGGGAGTACATCTGTGAAAAGTTCAACCAGTTTGAAAACCAAACAAAAAAAAAGGGAATTAATGTAACAGACCATAGATTTATGTTTTCTGTTACATCTTAATTAAAATCTAAGTAAGAATAATAACAAAGATAAAAATAATGTTAATTAAAAGAACAGCTATGTTTTCAATACCTAATAATAAAAAAATACATAAATAATTAAATTTTAATTCATAAAAATGTGAAAACCGGTGAAAGTCTATATTTAAGAAAGATAATAAGTTTCCATTAATGACATGTATGTAATAAAATACCTTTGCACTTCTTATGTAGGTCCTCGATCGTGCCAGGATTTTCAAGACGATCTGAAATCGGAGTAGACGGCGCAACCCCGGTCGTAGGGTCTGTCTTTTCAAATTGAAGAGGAACCGTAGGAACTGATGTTGGAGGCGGAGGTGGTGGAGGTGCAGATGAAGCCGACACGTTTCCCATTTTTTCTAGTTTCCTTACTTTCTTCCAATAAGTTTTAAACACTTTCCTCGACCTACAATCTATGTAATCAATATTATCGTTATTATTGACTCTTGTTAACACTTTAACCATTTACTTACACAAATGTAATCTATCTACTCTGGCGGTTATAAAATTCGGCGTGTTGCACCGTAAGTCGCCATTTGTAAAGGAGGACAACCACTGCCACTTAGACCACGAGTTTCCTCTTTTCCTCCTTAACGTTTTACACTTAGTTCATAGACGAATCATTTCATGCCTATCTTCATAGTACTAAATTTTTTTTTCCTTCTTTCTAAAATTTTTTTCCATATAATATAAGAGTTAAATTCAGTATTTTTGTGATAATCATTGAACGTTATTTGCAATCCTGTGTTCAAATAATTGTTAGTTAACTTTTCAAATCTGTTTAAAGTATAACGCTTCATATTTTTATCCAATAGGAATATTAACAATCTAGGGAAAACGATAGAAGTAGAATGAAACGTTTCTATTGGCTCAAAAATTAGTCGCCATATCTAACAATCGATTATTACGAAGGCGCGTTGATTTGAATAGATTTATACTTATTTCACTTTATTTTACTATTAATTATTATTTACTAGAACAATGTGTGTGTGTGTGACAGCAAAAACAATAGAAAATAAGTATAAGATATGAAATAAATATTAATAGTTCGCGTAAATGATATTTATTATACATCTTATTTTATGTAAACTTTGCAAAGAGAAATCTATACATTCGACAAATTTTATACAAATCTTGATGCAATAGCAAGTAACTTAGTATAATCTGCTCCTTTGCTATGAGTTTTCTCTTTTAACAATGTTCTTAATATATGAGGTATTGGTACATGTATTCGTGTTCCTAAAGGTGTGCCATTGTCGTCTATGAGAACTAAATTATTGGAATCAAATTTGGGTACTTTCGGATTTTGCTTTTGCTTTAAACCAACTAGTATGCCTTTCTTCTTTTCACCTTTTATAGCAACTAATACCCTGTCACCTTTGTTAGAATAAAATATTATTTTACAATATATTTCAAAATAACATTATCAGTAAAATAATGTTCTACTTGCTTACCAATATATCCAACCCCTACTTTATTATAAACGTGAATACAACGTGGTGGTTTCCCTTCTAGCATAGCTTTTTTTCCAATTTCACTGTTATCAACAACCCTTAAACGACTTAATTTAATAATTTGATTGGAGGGAACAGAAGTGCTAATACTTCTTGATGCAATTTTTAATGCAACTGTGTGAGATAACATCATGGCAATTCAAGGATACCTTAACAATAAAAATAAAATGCCTGCAATAACTTACCTACATAAAATTATATTATAAATACTAAAACTATATTAGAATAATTTAAACTTTATAATCTATAACTCATAAAAATCATATACCTTTTTATACGAATTAATTATTCTCGCAATACTGTTGTACCTGAACGATTTCAGTATCTGTTATTATTTCAGAACTAACATAACCCCATTATATCTTTCTTAGTAAAGTGAATATAGTCAGTTACACCAAAAACTAGTGCTACCACCTAACATTAAAATTTAAATTCAAAATAATTTTTACAAGAAATATATGTCAAAGAAAAAATACACTAATTACAAAAAAGATAAAAGTATGTTTAATAAAAAATATTTAAATATTTTATAAAATTATTATAATTATTGTCTATTTTTATCAACTGTCGAATAGGACAGAAATCTATTAATATTTAATATCCGTAGAAAAGTTTTAAAAATTTGCAAAATAATCATAAATAAAGATAAACAACTAAAATTTTATAAATTTGTGTCTGTATTTAACTTTATAAGCAATATGTAGCAAATGGTAGAGGTTGTGAACCAACACAAGGTAAGAAATTCGGACAGGGAAAGCAAGGTCCGACAAAGGAAGAACAAATTTGAATAGGAGATATGGCAAGTAATGGAGAACAAATCTTTTTTTCATATCTTCTAGAAAAGGCTACTCTTGCACCACCTAATCCATGAGCTTTCTGTTTTTTCATTGTTTGCATTGCAAAACGAATTTTTTCGTTATAAAGATTATCAATATTAGCAAGAATATGAGCATCAGCACCTATCTTCTTCTTCTTTTTTTTCTTCTTCTTAGATTTTTCTTTCTCAAGACCTTTAAATTTGGCAATACTTCGCGGCGAAGCTTCGGCTTCGCGAGAAATTTTCGCAGCTTCGGATTCGCTAGCAATTTTAGCTGCTTCGGTTTCATAAGCAATTTTAGCTGCTTCGGTTTCGCGAGCAATTTTAGAAGCTTCTGTTAACTGGGCTAATATTTGTTTCTTGATCTTATCTTGTTTACAATAACACTTCAACTTCTTTAAAATTGCCGGTGGTAGATAGGATTGACTACCCCAACAACCAGTCTGAAGGTTCTCTGATGTTAATTCACGTAATTGATATGGATATCCTTCGACATTATCCTTACGACAATGAAACGCAGTTTTGATACCTCTACTATTCTCAAATTCGGTAATAATGCAATTACCAAGATAAGTGATACGTATATATATTTTGATCGTAGCATTAGTTTCCTTTAAATCATCATTCATCAACGTGTAGGTTCCTATCAATGATCTACAATTTTAATCATTGTTAAGTTAATTCATAGTTAAATTAAGTGAATCATACGTTTCGAATACCGTACCTCGAAATAGGGTCGTTTTCATGAAAATTGCATAAATATGGACCAAGTTCTTTACGTTCCTGTAATTCCTTAATAATTGCATTTATCAAATGATCAACCCTTAATAATGTGAATCCAACGTTCTCGCAGGAGTCGAGCTCGAAATAATCACAAATCTCTTTAAATACGTAAACTTGAACATCGATCGCATTCATGGGTTTTTCTAAAGATGATTCAGGCAAAGCGAAGACTACCGAACGTCCACCATAAAATTGTTCGTTTTCATAATTGGAACCACGATAAGAACGATAATCGCGTCGATTTGGTAAAAGTTCTGTCCAATCCTCATCCAAGAAACGAAACATTACCGTTACCTTTTTTAAAATAGCCTTGTCAAAGATGGAATTCCGCGGTACATGCAACTACACAAACGAATGGTTAATAATAACGATTTAAATTCTGGCGGGAGAAACTATCGAATTGTATTTTCGATCTTTACATTCTCCACTGCAAATTCTAACATCATGATGCGTTGATCGTGTGCTACGATCAATGAAGACATCGTACTTGAATTTATACGTTTGCCAATTTGAAGATTACATTACACTTGATTTAATTTGATTATGTTATCGAAAAAATATTTTCTTTTTTGGGAAGGTAGTAATTTTTAAAAAGCCATTTCTTCTTTTGTAAAAATTCGGTATTGCTTTTTAAAGCAATGTCATCGGATTAGTTTGAAGTTCAATGGCGCTTCAGCATCTATCGACACTTATCGAATCACAAGTAACAATCGATTGTCATTTTACTCTGCGGTAATATTTAAATAATATATTGTATGTACTAGGCTACTACTTACGTTTTTTCACATTTCTATAAATGAGGTTCACAACAATTGTGTTAATTATTCGTTCATTTCTTACGAGTTATTTATTTCTTAATGTATCATCTACATATTTAATATGAAGATTGATTCGTTTAATCTTCTTAAGTTATGCGTATCTAATATTAGTAATAAAAAGTAAAAGATAACATATCAGTCATTAAAAATGATTTTCTTAAATCAAGAAAGGTAAGGGATATATAATCTCGTTAAACGGACTAGATACCTAAGAACTTGAACAATCCTCACAAAAAATATATATATCCTAAATTTGAGAGATACAGAAAGAAAGAGAGAAAAAGAGAAAAAAAGAGAGAGAGCTTACAAATTTATGAAATTATGAAAAAATTGATTGGATAAAATACCTTGCGGTAAATAATCTTGTTAATTAATTAATATATCACGTAAATTTAACATTATTTTAAATGTTCTATTAAAAATATTTTTCACATATTCGCACTATAATATATAATCAAGATCTGACTTGCTTTTTTATTCTTCTTTTTATCTTATCTTTGTTTTCAAATGATACTATAAAGATTCGTAATGAGAAGTGCAATCCTAATGAATAATATTTATTTGTTGATATTTGAAATGTGCAAAAAGATGGATATGTACTTCGTATATTTGACATGAGAGTATCGATACATCATCGAGCTTCATATATTGTAAAGCGGACTCTTTATCAATAGCAATACGATAAAGCACAATTTTTTTTTTCATTTTTTTTCTTTTTAATAGAAAAATTGCAAACAAATTACGTGTAACAGCGCCCATGTTAATTTTATTAAACGTTTATTACATGATCGTTGAATGCAGTTTCGAAGCACAACCGTGTTATTTAATAACTTTGTTGTACACATATACATATACGAATGAATAAGGCGCAAGCTGAAAAAAAAAAACAAAAAACTATATCTTTTATCGAAAAGATTATTCAGAGCAAGTCGTACGTATAATGTTAATTGATTTTCTTTAATTGTAATTCGACGATATAGGCGGGATATTTCTTCAGTTCCTTTTTTCTTCTTCTTCTTTTTAAGATAATCGTTTAAAAATCATTGGTGTCTTTTAATCTTTTACATAGAATTTTTAACAAACCCAATTCCAACTATTTCGTTTTCTCTCAATCCCCTTTGAAGATTGAATTTAAAATTTGCAAGAGCATACGTACTACACGATGCATACCATCATCATACACGCGTTTGATTAATCTTCCATGCTTTTCATCCTTTCATACATATTTTTGTTATCTTCCAACTCCTAGTATTTTTTTACCACATAATTTTGCAAATTTATATTCTTAAGAAACACTATGTATCATGTTAATTTTTTTTTTCGTTTTATATATAGAACTATCTCATAGTAGCATTAAAAAAAATGGTAAATCCATTGTAATATTCAAAACCGCTTTGTGCGCAATTGAAAATTTTCCATAAGATTTGATTTAGCATTGACAATGAGTAATGTCCTTTTTTTGTTTTTCTTTTAATCACGTGCATTGCTCTAACAATAATTATTATCATAGATACGTTAATTGAAATAAATAAAATGTGTGAGTTGACAAACCCACATCTCTTGCGATCAATGAAGATTTAACACCAGAAGCGTTTAGCGAATTTTCTATTAGTATTATTATTATTTTAATTATTAATATGAATATTATTATTATTATTATTATTATTATCATCAAGATGAATAGTATATTGTCCAACGTGAGATCGTGTAAAACATGTTCGTTTCATTAATCTGACTTATGTTAGTGAATCAAGAAAATTACTTAAGAGGACTGTTCAATTATTTTCAGAACGTATGATATACATGAAATGTTATTAATAAAAGTATAGCATATAATAAAGTTGTAAGAATTAAATTTAATAATATGTAAATAGATAATTTTCAACCTAAGTATGGAGAATATGATATAAAAGAATGTTTTTCTTAAAAAACTTGCAACTAATTCTACGTTTTCGTTTTTATCGTTTGTGATTAGTTTTCTTTTACATTTAACTTTTCTCTTAATTATGCGTATTGTGCCATCGCATCGTTAATGACGAAAGAATCACGAGGATATATTTTTTTTAAATCTTGCACCACAAATACTAAAACTTTCTTACATATATTCCAGTTATATTACAAAAATTAAAATCAACATCGGTATAATTAGCGTAGAGCACTATCTCACATCAAAAAATGGACTTTAATCTTCACTTGAATTGCACACGAAGTGATGCCTCGAGTGACATTATTAACATTTAACTGTGGATTAACAGCATGATATTCTAAAAATATAGACATTTGATAAAACAAAATATAGAAGCTTCGACGCTTATCGACACATATGTAGAATGCAATTATAAACAGAAACGCACTTTGCACTTTACAGAGACAAAATGAACAATTAACATGCTCGTTACATCACAATTCAGGCTACTTTTGTAAATATAAATGTGAAATATAAATATTTGTGAATTTCATTTCTTTTGTAAATATAAATGTGAAATATAAATATTTGTGAATTCAAAACTTACGCACAAATGATTGAACAACTATACAGAAGGACTTATTAATTATGCAAGGAGTACTGATACTGGCTCGCAGATATAATAAACAGGGAGGAGAATGCACTTGGATGATTTACTGTGTCCTTGTTTTTATGATAGTAAAAAAATGTTAATACTCTTCTTCATCGTCAGGGGCCAAACCATCTCCCTCTAATTCTTCTGGCGGTGCAAATCCATCCTAGACAATAATCAAACAATTTTTAGATACGACATTAGTGTTTCATCGTTTTTCATTAACATATAAAACGATCGACTAAAATTATCTATTCTATTAGTATTAATATATGCAGTTTTATCAAATAGAATAAGACATAATTTCTTGTTTGAATCCATAATACTAAAAGCATAAATTATTACAAAGTAATGCTATTTTAAAAAAATAAAGAATATAATAGTATCCAATTGTATCTAACTTTTAGTAAAACAATTCTCACAAAACGTTTGATTTAGTATCCCTTTTTTAATTAACTATTAAAATGTCATTCTAATACGATCAATACACAATACATTTTAATTATGATCACAGAGTCTTGACAAAACAATGTAACACGGATTGAATAAGACCTATAAATTTACAACATTACCTGCATTATAAAAGTCTATAATTTTATTATTTTGTCTTCATTAAGAGAATGACCTTCTATTAAAAATATAAATAAAAAATGCTACTATGTCTGTTTGCTTTCTCCTTCGGCATATTCATAATCCTGAAATAATTGTGATACAAACAAAACTTTATATTATAATAATATTCGTCGGTTATGCTTGAAATGCCAACGTTATTATAGATTTAACATAAATAAGTAAATTAATAATTTGATTATTACAATTACGAGGACTCTAATATTTCACACATTATTAATTTTTTTACATTACACAAATTGTCCAAAAAATTAAAACTTCAGTTTACCTCTGTTGCATATAGAACGTCTAATATTTTTTGTATAATGGGAGGGGGATCACCATTCTCACAATCTTGACATATTACTTCTATGTCACGTAATTTTCCAAAGTAGAAATCTCTTTCTTTTTCTAAACCATCGATTGACATTTTGAGCTCCACAAGCTGCGAATACAAACATATTATAAAATAATTATATTCTTAGATTTTATAGAATAAAGAATAAACAAATAAAATATTGATCAATTTCCAAACCTGTGCACTGAGCTCTTCTACTTTTTCGGAATCTCCACGATTTGCTGTTCCGGTCTTTTGTTGAGGGCGGAATGATTGAGCTTTATTCACTAAATTAAAAAATTGTCAAAGTTAAAAATTTTCTATTAAAGAAATGTTTTGTAATCAATACTACTACTTTTGTAATATAGTATACGTACTAAAATTAATTGTTAAGAAACAAATTAATTTTCAAGTGATAACAAAGTTATTAATGTCAGGTATATTAATCATATATATGCATGCACATGCAAGAAATATAGCCATACAACAAACATTTCAATACATGCATTAATGTACATAATAAACACAACGAGTTATATATACAAAAATTTCAATAAATATTTTTCTTTAATTAGTTTGATTAAAAATGTTCAAACATTTTATCGAAAACCAGTCTTCACGCCCTCTAAAAATTATTTTTTAAAAATGCATCTTTTTTATGTTAGAATATTTTATTAGAATATAGTTAATTAAAAAAATTTCCATTAATTGTTAATTCTACAATGATGTCTTTTATCTTATACAACAGATTTTGTTAAAGAACTTGAATGATTCTAAACTATTTCTTTATTATTTACAATAATAAAATACCATTACCAAAAGAAATAGAAATAATAAAAAAAATAATTACTAGGTTTGTTCAAAGGCTTCATAATAGGTGCCTGTACAGATTGAGTTCCATCACCTATGGGGAATTTTAAATTTGCATTATAAGACATAATAGACCAGTATCACATCATGTAAGTAAAACTGAAATATTTAACACGTCATATGTATTCATATAAATGTAAAAATTATTTGTAGATAAAATTATAGAAATAAATATATCAGTAATCAATGAAATAAATCATGTAAACTATAATGTGTCTTAACTAGAACATTTCTTTAAAAAGCAATGTTACTTCTAAATATAATACAAGTATTAGAAATTAATACTAAAAAGTTAATAAATAAATATTAATAATATAAATTTTTAATCTTCGCTTATAATAATCATGTTTGCTATTACTTAATATCATCTGTATTTTGTGCAGAAATCGTTAAATTTCAATATTAGTCTTTATAAAGAAAAAATTGTATAATATACCAGTACGAGCGGTAGGTTTAGCTGGGTTTACTTCACGAGGTGTAGGACGTTTCACATTAGAGCCACGTGGTGCAGCATTTCCACCACTACCCATGGCTTCACCTCCTCGCATAGCAAGCGCATCATAGGGTTCTGCTCCTGAGTAATTAGCATCAAAAAACTTCTTGAACCATTGTAAAAATTCAAAGTTGTCTTGGAACCTGCCTTTCACCAGCTTGTCAATTGGTACTATCTGCAAATAATTGGTAGAAGACATATGGAACAAAATAAAAAATTAACCTAAAATAATGTATCCTATATAAAATGAAAAGTGCCACCATAGTATCATGTTATTCTGCCTATTATTTTAATTAACTTTAAAAAATTGTATTTAAGTTCTGTAATGATTTTGCTTTTATCTTTATAAAAAATAATATATTTAAAATAATTTATATATAGAACTCTTAAATAAAATGTGTACATTCCAAATTTGCATATTAATTATTTTAAACGCATCAACTTAATTGTTATTATTTACACATAACTAAAATTGTGAAATAAATATGCATTATCTGAGAAAAATAATATTTCTACGTTTCTCGGCCGTAATCTCACACAGATTTTGTTATAATTCTTTTATTATAATCGAAGATAAAATATTTATTTTCTAATAAAAATGTATATTTCATATTATTTAATACTTGGTACCACCTACTATATTCTTAATAGAGTAAATGATGTGTATTATTTTGGTCTTTTCATGTCTCCTAATACAAACAGTTGCCCCCTACTTAGAAGTATTTATAGACTGTTAAAAATAACAGTCTTGAGATTCTTCTGGTACCATCATAATATAATTACAATTTAATGTAATTTACATTTAACAATGCTCATTTTGATAACATACAATTTGTTCAAGGCATGCATAGTTTACCATGTTTTTTATAAACAATTTTTTATACAATGAATTGGAAGTATTAAAATATGGGACCAGGTGCCATAGTGAATAGTACATTTTTTAACAGGCATTGTTGTGCATTTGTTTATGGAATTATATACGATCAAATATGTATAAGCAAAGCAGAAATTCTACCCCTATACTATAATAGCGGCATGATTTACATAGCCAATTTTGAACTAATTTTAAAAGCAGCATGATAAATGAATGTTGCATATTTTCATATATTTTTTATATTTATGCTTTGCATTCTATCTAAATATTGGAAATGTGTATATAATTCTAATGAAGTGACAATTTGCAATAAATTAGTGGTCGTGCAATGATCTATATAGAAAGGCAACATTACGATGAAACTAATAAAGTACCCTGCTGTTGCCTTGAAGATATATTACGCTGTTGTGTATGTTTTTGTTGCATTTGTGGTTGCTTCGATTGAGGAGGTAGAGGTACCAATTGAGGATTTGATAGATTATGAGTTCCATCGACACCAGAACCAAGCGGTATACAACCACGAGCTTCATAAGCATCGTATTCACGACCGTCATAATTTGCATCAAAAAATTTCTTGAACCATTGAAGAAATTCAAAATTATCTTGAAAGCGTCCCTTTATCAGCTTGTCCACTGGTATAACCTGAACCATCCCCATCACAATTTTATTGAACTTCTAAGCAAGCTAAATCATTGTACGATAGAAATATTTATTTAGGGGTTGATTTTTTACTTTACAAAATACAAGTATTACTCATATTTTCTTTTTTTTTTTTTTTTTTTTTTTTTATTCTATTAATAGCTTTAAGCTTTTCATATACATTCCATTAACAGAATACTGCTAAACGACTATGTCTTTGGTCGATAATAAGATTAACATTATGCCTTCAAAAATCTTAAAAAATAATTTCTTGTAATGATTCCTTTGGTATAAACCTTCTCGTTCTAAAAATACTATTCTTTGAGTTATAATCTTTTATTTAAATCTAATCTTCCCTATTTCTATTTCTCAATCGGTGTCTAATTTTAATCGTAAAAAAAAAAAGAAAGAGTTAACTCACCTTATCAACGCTCATCTTTTTGAAACCACCTTGAAGAATTTTGAAATTCTGTATATATTCATGTTCAAGATTAGTCCTGAACTTTACCCTCTTCAAAGGTACACTTCCAGGAAAGAGCATATCCATGAATTGACAATAAACAGCTCCTGTACATAATTCTTCAATTTTGGTAAACGATGATTGCAGACAATCGTTAACCCATGCCAACATGTCATGACGACTTAGATTATCGGTGGTCACATTTGTTGCATACACATTTACAGCCATTTTGTTATCTCTGTAAACACGTACCAATAATAAAATACAATAACATTATGATATACTAAGCTTATACGCATACATTAAATAAAACATTAATCATATTGAATATATCAAAGTAGGTCATATGTGCATATAAAATTAGGAAAAATTTACGTATATCGTTCTTATATTTATTTCCTTTCAACGAAAAAAGAAGAATTTGTTAGACTTTTGCTAAAAAAAACAAAAAAAGAATTTTAAAAAAGAAAGAAAAAAGAAAATTTAAAAAAGGAAGGAATAAAAAGTCTGGATAAGGACATTCCGGTCTTTCTATAAAACACTTGCGGTCGACATATTTTTTATCAACGTGCTACAGATGTCAAGTAATGAATTTTATTTTCGAAATAGATCACTTTGCCGCTTATTTGAGACGGAATACATACTGGCATAAAAAAATCTTTGTAAAATCTAATTAACACGATGGAATAACTTACCGCGGTAGTAACACGTTAAGACCAGCCGGGAGTGGTTCCGCGCACTTAGATGACTGATGTGCACTAGATCGTTCAAACGGAAACACAACGGATTCTTCTAACGGTTTCTCTAGAAAGGACCGTCCACTGAATTATCTTTGCTGCAATAAATGAATGAGTTAAGGATTATCTAAATAAGATAAGTTCTTGCTTGTACATTTTGATCATACTCAGATGGATATTCAATAATCTTATATCAGAAGTTATGGAAAACTTCATGAAACATACGCTAACAACAATTTGTAGTTTATGTCAAAAAAATAAAAGAACGAACAAAGGAGAATGTCGGTACTTATCGTCCAATCAGATCTTTCCTTTTAATCGTAACCGTCGTCAAGCACGTTCAAAAACTAAATCTTGAGGCGCTCCCTCAAAGACTCTTCTCATGAAAATTATTTTTATATTAACTATGTAACAAAAATACAAATCGTTCTTTCGAATTGTTTAAGAAACGGATTGCAGAAATATTTTATCATTCACGAATGAATAAAATTTTTATATAAATTCGGATAATTAAAAATTATCGCTCATTATATATGCGGCATAATATTGGTCTATAAATCTGACATCTGTAGGCAGATTATTAAACTACTACTAAATAAATTTAATACAATATACATGTATCCTCTCTTTATAATCGATTATAATATTATTGCAATAAAAATATCATTTGCATTTTTACATAGCACAATATAAAAAGTATATTTTCAATTATCTACGAATTAAAACTTTATTGTATTATTAAAATCAATAGCTTTCTCGTAGTTACTTTGAAGATTCACCAATTTTATAGAAACATTCAAATTGAATAAACGCGGTAAGAGTCTTTTATTTAAAAAACAAAAACGGTGCAATAGAATGTAATTTTTTATACAGAAAATAATCTGTTATTCAGTTTGACTAATCGTTCTTTTCTTCTTCTATTAACAATCTTTTGAAAGGCCGATTACGATTAGATCAATTTTATATTAAAAAAAAAAACAGAAACATTATAATTTAATAAGAAAAATAAATTATACTGAATAATGTAGTATCTTTATTATAAAAGTAAATTCTCGTAGAAGTAAACGTTGATGTTATCTAGTAGAAATGTCCTTGAAAATTCTCGACAGATACATAAAGAGGATCGTCATTTTTAACACATTTACCGTTGCGTGACGTAGGACATACACTCACACTTCTAAACAAAGTGTTACTATGTCCCACGTTTAGGTTTAAATGTATGAAAAGTCGTAAAGATCGATTCTTTTGAGTGCTTGGTAACATCATATCACGTTATGTCTAAACAAAAATTCATTTAGAGCATCAAGTTTAGACGGAACGCATACAGAACAATGTAGTTTCATCGAGTGTCAACATGAATAATTATCATTATTTTTTATTTGCCATAATTATACACATTTCTTTCCACATTGGAAAATCTTCGGAAATAACTGAACAAGGTATTTTTTGTCTATAAATACAAATTAAATATATCTTTGTATAATGTATAGGATGTACGAGTGTATTAAAACGTTAAATAATATTTTCATAACGTTTAAATATTTTTAATTTTAACATTATTATCTACGAATAAAAAAATTCCATTTTTAATTCAAATTTGTACGAACTATTAAAAATAAAAGAAAATAAATCAATTATTATTAATTAACTTTTATAGATATGCTGGATTTTGAAAATAAAGAAAAGGCGGCAATTCCTTCAGTTTTGAAAGTTTCTTCGTGGAACGTAAGTTTTATTAACATGATATTTTTACTCTCTCTTTGACCAAATTATTATGTATTAAAATCGATATAATACTCTCATAAACATATTCAAGATTCTAATTATGCATTCAGGATATGCCGTTTTCCGGAATAATAAAAAAAAATGGCCAGTGGATAGGAACAGGATACGCATTTTATATTCTCGATCTTTTGAGTGATAAATTAAATTTTACCTACACTGTTATACCACCGACGGGACAAATATTCGGAAATAAAAATAGAGGAATTATAAGCATGTTGTATAAAAAGGTAAGAATTTTTATACGTTCTTCGTCATAAAAAAAAAATAATAAAGATTGTTCCTAATTATAAATTTTTCTATTTTCTTTTAACAGGAAGTAGATATGATCGCTGCATTCGTGCCTGTATTAGAAGATCTACGTAAATATTGTTTATTCAGCACGACATTGGACGTTTTTGAATTAACAGCTATGATGAAAAGACCTGAGGAATCTGCAACTGGTTCTGGTCTTCTGGCACCATTTGACAATACCGTTTGGTTTTGTGTTCTTACAGCTGTATTAGTTGTAGGCCCGACAATTTATTTGTTTTCTTTGATTAGGTTTGTAAAGAAATGAAAAAATCAAATTTTTTTAACATTCTATTATTTCATTGAATATGAGCCATAGTTTGCATATATATTGATGAATGTTCTCGTGCGTTGTCTATTTGTACTAAAACATTTTCGATTATTGTCTAATAGTAAAACTTTCGATCGAAATATTTATATTTATATATATATATATATATATATAGGAAAAAATGATTTATTGAAAAATCAATAAAAATAATTTCAATATAGGTTGAAACTTTGGAAAGGTACAGAAGGGGAAAATTACAATTTACCATCTTGCATGTGGTTTGTCTACAGTGCGTTACTTAAACAAGGATCAACGATTATCGCTCAAACAGGTATATTCCATGTATATATATACTATTAATATGATTCATATTGAAAGAACTTAAACTTTACATAATTTGTTTACATGTACCTTATTCTTACGCTCGTATCATATTTCAATATATACATATATATTAATATATCAGTAATATACTTAAATGAAATTATTATTTCAGATTCAACAAGGATGCTCTTCGCTACCTGGTGGATTTTTATATTAATTCTTACTTCATTTTATACCGCTAATTTGACAGCATTCCTTACAAAGCCACAATTTACATTACCAATTAACAATATAAAAGATATAGTGAACAAAGGATACAAATGGGTCACTTTTAAAGGACGCGTGATAGATTATCTCTTATCTCAGGTTTAATATTCTCCAATATTATTAATATTCAGTTTTTAATTGTATCATTTTCGTACTAAAGTACTATTCATAATAGTCGTACACTAACGATCGTTTCATTACTTTCAGCCTTATGTAAATGAATTAACATTGTTAAACCAAACCACATTTCAAGGAGAATATATCACGATGTACAATGAGCCAGCAAGTTACATATTTGATACCGTCGAAAATAGTATGTACATTTTTCCTAATTAATTATAGAGTGAGATTAGAGATGAACACTAAATTGATCAAATATTTTCTCTGTTAATGTTAATTATTATATAGAAAAACTTTATCTCGGAGAACGTCACTATTTTCGAAAGTTATTATTTGAGGATTATATAAATAAAACTCGTGAAGGATTGGAGCACAACAAACGTTGTACTTATGTTATCATGCCTGGAAGTATTCTTTCGAGAAATCGAGCATTTGCTTTCCCTTTAAATTCAACTATCGTGGATGACATAAATATGGTGTAAGATCATCTATTTATTGTTAACATTGCAAAACCTTTCGTAAACCTTACTTCGCGTGAACTCTTTATGATAGTACCAAATACACAAAATGTTTAGAGAAGTTTATTATACTCTTGCAGATTGTCTTCTCTCATAGAATCCGGTTTAATCAAACATAAGAAAACAAGTGATCTTCCGTTGGCTAATGTTTGTCCAGTGGATCTTCAATCAACGGAAAGACAACTTCGAAATACCGATTTATCTTTGACTTACGAAGTTATTGCAGCTGGATATATTATTGCGATGATAGTTTTCATCATAGAATTAATTATTAAGTATATTAATTATTGCAAGAATAAGAAAGACGCGAGGCAATCGTCTAAAATTCAAAAACAAACTATTAAGTACCAAGAAAATTCGGAACAATCTTTATGGGCATCGAGATTACCTTTATACGATACTACTAATAATAATTATTGGAGGGATAATAACTTTAGTTTAGTTAAAAGAAGCCCACCACTATTATATCATTATAATGAAGGGAATACATCTTTCTTGGGTAAACGACATAACATTAACGGACGTAATTATTACGTAGTTGTAGATAGAAGCGGTAGTCAAAGACTAATACCTATTAGGACGCCATCAGCATTTTTGTTTCAATATACTGCATAATATATATGCATGTACATAATATAATTTCTTAATTTTCTAGAGTTAATGAGATAAACGTACAATAATTCCTATTTTTTTCGTTTTCCCTTTTTCCTTTTTCTTTTTTAATGTCGTCTAATGTATTATACAAAAAGTATACGAAGGAATGACGTCAATATAACTCTTCTATGCAATATATATATATATATATACACATTTACGTATGTATATAATTACAAGGCACATGTGTTATTTCGTTATTTCGGCTTTCGAAACTGTTAATGCATATGTGTCTATATATTTGTTGTCTCTATCTGTGGAACATATTGTTTATTATTAAATAAACATGATTTATTCCATATAATAAATTGCACATATATATATATATATTTGATTATCTTCTTTTTTAAAAGATTGAAGTACGAGAGATGATTTTTATATATTAAAAAGAAAATAGTTTAGGAACTCCGGTACTACGCATACTAAATATAATAGTAATACTACTAATATAATAATAGTTAAAAATGTTATGTTTACGCAAATAATATTAATCACAATTAATTCTCTCTTGCACTACACATAAAAAAGAAAAAGAAACGTAGAATTTATACAACTCTCACTTTAATCAGAGATCGTTCTTCAAATCATTTAAGACGCTTATATTTAGTATAATAAATATTGTTAATAACAAACAAGCTTATGATGAAACTTAACATATATATATATTTTTTTATACGAGTTTATTTGCAATCATCTCATTCTGTATACGATTATATCCTTCTCGAGTATTTATTATTATAACTTACGCGCTCGCGCGTGATGCTCAGATTAAATACTGTATCAAAGGTTCTCTACCAAAAATTCATATACATATATTCTTTACAAACAATATTCTCCTCTATATTTTTTGCATTGCTAATTAAATAATGCATTTTAGTACCATTATTGCTTTGTACATACATTAAGGAAAATGAAAGGTCATAGTGCATACTCGTCCTGTTAAATTTAAAGGCGGTATATTATCGAAAATAGTTACATATTGTTTTTTTTATATATGGCTTCATCAACATTTGGTTGATAATAATTCATATAGATACAGGATGGACCGTTTTTATAAAACGTGAAGAATTATTTTATTAAAATAATATGAGAAGTTAAAATTATATCGATGTGAGAAAGTTCATATAAATATATATCTATAAGATACACAATAAAAATAAAAAATAAAAACACAGAGAAAGATAGAAAGATAGATAGAGAGAAAGAGAAATAAAAAGAGAGAAAATTACTAATAACTACATACTTTCTTCACGTCGCAAAATATACTATGCTTTAATCGTGATTAATTTTCCACGGAACGATTACGATCGAATGTTTATTATTTGTTCGTATATACACACACAATATTTTTTTAAATAGTTAATAGTTTAATTGAAAACGAGCCAGTCCTGTATTGCACAATATTGCCAAAGAAATCCATCGTTAATACGCATTCCTATTATGGTGCATATACAAGGCTATACACACGTTCTTCTGTTCATGTTCTTATTTTGTATACATGCAAAGTTTACATAACAAATGATTTCATGTATCGCAAGATCGATCAGTATACATGCGCTTTTATATACAAGTACTTATATGCACATGCAATTGGCAAGCATTCCATTTCATTATAAAATCGGACTGCGCAATAACTTTAATATTCTGCGCGCGATATAGCGCAATTAATAAAAATACTAAATATTACTGTCGAATAAATTTAATTTGTATCAATCGTCAATTGTATTTACAATTAAGACACGCGATTTCTATGCCTCATTTACTAAACGGACGATATTGTTTTTGTAAAATATGTCGAGATATCGACTTTTTATGAATCTACTATATATGTCATTTGTTAATGTGTTTATAAGTATGTATGTTTATACGTGTGAGCGCGCGTGCAATATTACATTTATTTATTTATTTATTTTAATTTTTTATTTATTTATTTATTTGTTTGTTTGTTTGTTCAGTATTCGAGGTAAAATGTACATGGCATAAAAAATTGAAAGCACAAGAGAAAATAGGCAGGAGAAGATATTCTATAAGAGATATTCTATAATAATATTCATTGTTGCGAGTTTCTTTTTTTACCATAAGGAAACACAAAATGCATCGATGCATACGTGCTTTGATAAACATACATGTCATAAGGACAACCTTCATTCATTCATTCATCGTGTGGCAATCCTTTTTTCTGCTATTTTATACAAAATAATCTAAAATTCTAGCTCGTTAATTCTAATCGCTCCGTTAGATCTTTCACGATTTTAAATAGAGCTTATAGATTCAATATCCCCTCACATTATGTAATACCATCGCTCTAAATCCACATATTTGATTCCAAAACTACGTATTTAAGATCATATATGCTATTAACCAGATATTGGCCAAAATTTACATATTGCTAGTTAATAGTATTACCTCCAGAAAGGTGTACGATACATAAAACCAATACTTACATTGTGTTTTTGGTCGTACAAATATATGCTTGTTTTATCTAAGAGTATAGGAAAATATATTACCAGTTCATATAAGTTAAATATTAAATTTCACAAACATCGTGTTTTTCTTTTTCGATGTAAAAGAAAACTATGAATAGCAAACTTTTGTTGTCTAGGTAGTAAAGTTCCACTTTGAACGTCGAAACGCAGTAATTTATATAAAACGGACTAAAATAATAAATTTCGTCAAATATCTGAAACAATACAATTACGTTCTACTTTGCTATTTATAAATTCTTTGATACTTAGCATTTTTCTACATTATACTCTTAGATTTAACGATGCATATGCATAGCTCGATTTTCATTGAATATGATTGAAAAAATAATTTCGTGTAAAAACGGAAATAGCATACGTTATTAGATGCATATGTATAATTTTGAAAAAATCCTAAGTCATTAAATGTGTTGACATGATTACGTTACTTTTGGCCCGCACGCACAACAAATAATAAAAATCATTAAAATAAAACAAACTATCACTTTCGTTAAAATAATGTAACAACATTTGGTTCATTATGATCTTTGTCACAATTGTTGTCACGATATTAGAAATTTTTGCGTGCGTTGTGCATTCATTCTTATAGATTTGATCTAAAGTCTATAATCTATTAAACTTTATCCCAAAATTTGTCACGAGTATTTTGTGGTTAACATAATACCCATTGCGTTCGATTATTTTTTAAACGATTAATTGTTTAAAATAATGTCTACAACATAGTGACATTAGGGACGGAGGGGCATCCTGCTTATGAAGTAGATGTTCTTCATTTTCCGTTAATCGTTCTAAAGCAGAACCGTACTGTTTATCGAAAACTCCTGAAAAATATAATTCAATTAAATGATTATATCAATGTAGTAAAACGAACGTATAAATCTAATATAAGAATTTAAGCAATTGAATATATATAAAACATAAGCTATTTAGACATGCCTAGTCTAATTTTATTTTGAAAAAATTCTACCTTGGTGAATATTTCCTCCACCCACAGCAATAAATGCCAAAAACAAAATATCTCTATAAATAGAAAATGGAGCTTCTTCTTCAGATTGATTTTTACTCCTTTCTAAGGCCACCTTTTTAATAGGTTCTGTCAAGTCATTGCAACGTACGTATGATATTATCGTTTGCATTAATCTGAAAGTGTCAAGTTAATTAAAACTATAAACTATCTTTCTCGATAATCCATTTTACAGCATTGAATAATATTACCTTAAACTACGAGTTACGACTTATTAGACAGAAAATTTCAATTTTGCGAACATAAGAAAAATATTCTAGCATAATTTTATATTCCTTCAAATAAATTGATGCCAAAGAGTTAGTATAGAATCCCAGTTTTGATACATGGACGTCTGCAGGTGTTGAATGCATAAACCAAGCAGATACAGCCTCTCCTGTAATCGCAAAAATTCTAATCTCTTATTAAATATTTTTATATGTAACACACTTTACTGTGCAAATAATTTAGATTTATAACAATATAATTTTTACTTTAACTGAGTTTCAAGGTACATTCCTACAGACGCCCATGCTGCTACAATAACAAGAAATGATGTGCACAAGTTCACGTGCCTATCTGATAATTAATTTTACATAATGTGATATGGATTATATACCAAGAGCATAAATTATGTTTTTCTAAGCAGTACAATTATTGTCATGCATTATTATTTTTTCTCATTTAAGTAGAATTAGTCTAACATACAAAACATCTTGACAGATATCTACAATATGACAAATATATAATATAAAATAAAATATACAAAAAATATATTATTTGATCTGTATGTCACATGTATCACACTTGGAACAATACAACTTAATGCTCTTGTATAAAAACAGTCAAGTTTTCATTAAAACTTTGATACGCTTCTTATATACAACCTAGTGGCAGTTAAAGAACTTATTAATATACATTAAATTGTATAATACTTAGAGAGAGTATTTTTGCATATTTTATGCATGATCAATTTTGTATGTATAATTATTTTAAAATCCCTTAGAAATATCTAATCCCTAAAAATGAGCAATAAATAATATCTGATTAACACTTAATCGCTGTAATAACATTAATAGGCTTTGTTCTATACATAATTATTTGTATTTAAAAATAAATTCTATAATAAAACAGTATTTTAAAACAAACTTAATCAAATAAAAGAAAATTATATTAATCTCAAAAAATGTGTAACTCATATTTCTACTGAAAAATATTACACATATAATATAACGAAAGCTGCCAACTTAATACGTTTACATTCAATATATAATTTTAGAAGCCATGCTAATATCGTATACAAAAATTATAGCAATTCTTACGTTCGATCTTCTGTAGTATTCAGTTTCCACTGTAGATACATCGGTAATCGACCCATATGAATTCTCTCGTTATCCCACATTGTTCTTATACTCACATAATTAGAGTTGCTTTGTAATTGTTTGTTTGCATCATTATGCAACCAAAGATCAGAGAGATGGCTTGTTAAATTAATTCTTTCAAAATACCATATTAGATTCCAATATACTATTGGATGTTCTTCTATAAATATATGTCGGGTTAAACATACATCACCTTCCTGACTTAATACACTCTCTAATTCTTTTCTTAAAACCAATGGATTTAGATATGGTATCGTAATTGGTTCCAGTTGCTCGCTCGGTTTATCCGAAAGTTCAATTAAAGCACCCATCAAAGGATCACTGCTCTTTTCATTCGTTTTACATCTTAATAAACAAAAATACACATATGCTTAATATTTTATAATAACTATGTTATGATATATTTATTTTTATATACCTGTAATCTAATATAGTAACTGTAAGAAGAGGGACGGTGGCCTTGTCACAATACTGACAAACGGTATTTAAGTTAGAATCTTCTGGTTGCCATCCTGCCATTATTTCTTCGTCATAAAGTATTGCAGCACAATGATGGCATCTGC